CATGGGTCGAGATCAACGACATGCAAGAACACACGGTACACTTAAACGCTTGTAACTCAATAAACTAAACATCAAATCATGTTATATCAACTTTTACTTTTGAAAGGGTTTATCTGAATGTGCAAGAAAACATTCCTTTTAAGTAAATTGATATTTGTTTAATGGTGATTTTATTACGTATTGAGATAGATCCTTCGAAGAGAAAAAGATTGATAAAATAAAATACTGCATTTTGATGAGCCTTCCAATGTACAAAAACGCTCAACTTTGGCAGCCTGTCGGTCCGCGATTTTGGACAGTAGAGAATTTATTTATGTTTTATGGCTCTAAAGAACTCATAAGGTGCTTCAAAATGCTCCAAGATGACGCCTAGTCATCATCTTGAAAGATTTGATTGCCATTTTTAGACCAATCAATTTCATCATTTCGAATTTAAGCTTGCTAACTTGACCCGATCAAAAAATAAGTAGAGAAGGTTCTAGAAGTACTGTATTTACGCATAAATATTACTATACACTTGGAAGCATATTTTACAAGTAATTGGCCATCAAAAATTATTAATTTGAAATCTTTTACCACAATAAATCATCTGTAACATAACCAACACGTAAAAATCATGACAGAGCCATGTTTACCAAAAAGATCAGCAACTTCATCTGCTTGTTTTGTACAAGAAATACGAGTACTTTTTCATCCCTGCTGTTACCAACATAAAAGTATGAATTTATGGGCTGTTTTTCTCGAAAAAATCTCAAATTTATAATAATTTCCCCATCTCACTTGTTTCGGTGAAATTCGTATAATAAAGAAGTGTCTTTATACCCACAATCCGATTTGAATTTTAAATTTAATATAAGCTCATAAGAATGCATAATTTATAAATGAGGGCTCATTATGTTGTTGTGGACACTTCAGCTTCAGGGCAGTAGATACTAAACATTTTGAACATACTGTTTTTGAGTTTGACTACGAACTCACCTCTACAGTAGTAAAGAGGATCTGTTCCTCCTTATTTTCAAATTCATAACTTCCAAACTGAGTGACGACATAGGGAATAAGAGGAAACATACAAAGTACGTAGGAAAATTTGGGAGCTAACTTTTTGTATCCTCAAAATGATATATTTCCTATAGTTTCTACCCTAGTGAGTGGGGCCGTGGCAGATGCTTGTTCCGCAAGTTGTTGTATCCAGTATACAACTTCTTCCCGTTCAAGTGATTGTCCACGCGTTAAGGAATACCTCAGTACCGATTTCCGGGTGGCGGTACAAGTCCGCCAACGGGCCACTTTAGGTCTATTTAACATCACTAACACGTAAAAAGAAGGTGGTAGACAAGGACCAGTCGACCGAGGCAGTACCACCCGCTAGCTTTTCCCAGGGTATCTTATAAATGTCCGCATGTTTCCACACCTAAGCTATGCAGTCAGTTATCCTCCAAAACAAAAAAATTAATGATGATGGATCCCTCGAGCACTAAGAACTCCGAACGTAAACTCACTCCACTCTCGGAATGTCCGGGTGGAGGGTGGGCTCGAGGGAACAACATCGAAGACAAAATTTGTTTTTCGAAGATCTGCGGGATTAACAGCAACATTGATGCTGTTCATCACTACCTGCAATCCAATCGTCCCGTGCTTTTCTTGGCGGAGACAAAAATCTCAGAGTCTGCACCGATTAACCATCTTATCTTCCCAAACTAGGAGGTGCACTCCAACCTGAGAAAGAACGGGGGAGTTGTGGCTTTTGTCCGCAGCAGTCTTTCCTGCTCCAGAGATGTTTCTTTGGAATCAGACCGGAAGGACATTCTGTGGCTTCGCCTCAACTCCAAAACATCACCCAAATTTATTTGCTGCCTTTATCGCTCTCCCTCGGACCATAACTGGGATGACCTACTCGAATACCTCGCCGTCCAGATCGACTTCCTGAACATCAATCATCCCGCTTCAGAGGTAGTTCTTCTCGGTGATTTCAAAGCCCATAATGAGCTTTGATTGGGCTCAAACAAGACCGATGCAGCAGGTCGTGCAGTTGAAGCGTTCGCTCTTACCCAAGGGCTGACTCAGCTGATGACGAGCCCGAGCCCTACTTTTTTACCCCGCGTCTCGTCACACGCCAGTAGCCTGCTGGATCTCTTTCTGACCACGCATCCTGTCCCTTACAGCACTGGCTGTCCTGTCCCCCATGGGTAAGTCAGACCACGGTGTTGTGGAGGTTAGGTTTCGGTCAGAACCCGCTGTGGCAGCAGAAACTCGTACAGGCCGCAAAACTTGGCATTATGGACATGCCGACTGAGAGGGGCTCAGAGACTTCTATACATTTCCTTGGAGAAATGTCTGTTTCACTGACGCGGATGCGTCGGCTGTCTGTTCTTCGATAACCGAAATTATCCACGTTGGAATGGAGGAATACATCCCTCACACAGTGAAAGTGCCTAGACCAGGGTCCAACGGATGGTTTAACAAATCGTGTGACCCTGCTCGCCAGCAGAAGATCAAGGCACACAGAACCTTCTTACGAAACCCCACTGTAGAGAACAGAAAGCCAACCTTGAGTCCAGAAACAAATATAAAGCAGCGGCTCGCAATGCCAAAAACCAGCATGATATAAAAGTTAGGCACAGGGTAATGTCGTAGCGCAATGGCAGTCGGTCTTTCTGGACCCTGGCAAAGCAGATTGAAAAGAATTTCTCACACAGTAGCCTTCCACCACTTACGTGTCAGGATGGAACTATTGTATTCAACTCAAAGGCCAAGGCGGAAGTGCTAGCCAAGATCTTTGCTGCCAACTCCACCATGGACGTCCCCCCCAACGCCCAAGTGCCGTCAATTCAAAGGGTTCCCTACACTATGCGGGAGGTAACATTCAGGCATAAGACCGTCGCTCGACATCAACAAAGCTTCTGGTCCGGACTTGATTCCTGCCATTGTACTGAAGAGGTGTGCTCCGGAGCTTGCTCCAGTTCTTTCGCGTCTCTTCCAGATATATTATGAATCCGGCACCTTCCCAGAAAACTGAAAATTTGCTCATGTCTAACCCATCCCAAAAAAGGGATCTAAGACCGACCCTTACAACTACAGGCCTCAAGCTCTGCTTTCTGTTTTAAGTAAGGTGATGGAGAGGTGCATAAATCGCGAGCTTCTGGACTACCTCGAACGTCACGGCTTGATTAGCGACAGGCAGTATGGTTTCCGGCACCAACGATCCACAGGGGACCTCCTAGCTTACGTCACCCAATTGTGGAGTAAACTCATCCAGTCTTATGGTGAGGCTCATGTCGTTGCTCTTGATATCACGAAAGCGTTCGATCAGCTGTGGCACGCTGCCCTCTTAAGCAAACTTTCATCCTATGGCCTCCCAGAAAAGCTTTGCAGATGGGTGGCTGACTTTATCGCTGGCCGCAAGATATCCGTCGTAATTGTCGGGTTCTCCTCTTCATCCCACAACGTCAACGCGGGTGTTCCCCAGGGATCGGTCTTGGCTCCGACACTGTTTCTCTTACATATCAACGACCTCCTTTCCTGCACGATCAACCCAATCCACAGCTTCGCTGATGACAGTACTCTACATGCAGGAATTCAGAGTGACAAGCCGATCTCTGCCGCTGAGTTGGAAAAAAGAAGACTAGCGATGACTTCCTCTCTGACAAGAGACCTGGAGGCTATCACTGATAGGGGACGCAACAATCTTGTACAGTTCAATGCTTCCAAAACGCAGTTCTGTACCTTGACGAACAAAAAGCGTCCCTGCGCTCACCCGGTTTCGATGGATGGTCGAGTTCTGCCAAAGAGCCATTCATTTCGGCTGGTCGGAGTCCAGATCACCGAGGACCTGATCTGGCACAAACACATCTCGTCAATACCTGCAGCTGCTGGGAAAAAGCTAGGCTATTTGTTTAGGGCTAAGAAGTACTTTTCTCCGCATGACCTTCTCACTCTATACAAGGCCCAGATAAGGCCTAGCCTCGAGTATTGCTCACACGTTTAGGGTGCTGCCGCCCCGACTACATTATCCATGCTCGATGCTGTCCAGAGGAGGGCGGTCCGGCTGATTGATTACTCTTCTCTAACAGACAGTCTCGGGACTCTTTCGCACCGGCGGGCTGTCGGCGATCTGGCTCTTTTCTACTGTTACACCAACGGGCTTTGCTCCTCAGAGCTCTCTTCCATGATGCCGTCGCGCGATGTGCCTGCCAGACAGACCCGCCTGACTTTGGCGTCCCATCCTAACCGTGTCGAACTTCGTACATCGGCCGATACGACCGCTCCTTTGTCCCGAGGGTGGTCGAGATTGTGGATCAATCTACAAGAGGAAGCTTTTCCCAGTTCTATTAACCTTATTCAGTTCAAAAATCGTATTGATAAAATTTCTATGGGATCATCATAGCAGCCGCGGTGTTCCAGCATTTAGGCTTCTGCCTGTGAGGCTGCTTCGATATAAAAAAAGTACAGTCCTACAGCCTCCCAGAGAGGCTTCGGAAATGGCGCCTACCAGTTTAAGTTCCTGTTTGTTCGTTTCAGCACATTGTTAATGCAGTTTAAAGACCAACTTAACTAGCAAGAGACTCCCAAGTGCACGATCGGTTTTGAGGGATGGGAGAGGTTTACCAAGGCACCATTCGCTTCGTCTTTTCAGGCTTCAGATCAGCAAAAAAATCGTTTCTCATGAACACGTCTCTTTTTGGGAATAAGGATATACTTTCAGAGGTAGGAAGCGCTTTTCTCCATGCAGTCTTTGTGTTCTGTGCAAGGCCTATGTAAGATTGGAGTACTGTTCTTATACCTGGGGTACTGCAGTTCCAACTACACACCTCATATTTGACGCAGTTCACATGAATGCATTCTGAACAGAGAATGCAAACTAGGTAGAAGGAGCTAGCATGTGATTTGCTTTGATACAATATTACGTAGTCAGTAGTCAGGATGGAAGTGCATAATACAAGACGCCAGTTTGACAGTTGTTGACATTTCGCATTACATTCGTACTTTTCTGCGAAAACATATAAAAGTTCAAGGTTGTTGTTAATTATAAAAAGTAGCATAAGCTTTTTATCGATAAGTCATCGGCATTGCGAAATGGAAAGTATTGTGAGGTAATTTTGGCTTATTTTATTTTTCTAAGGTTTGTTAACAAAATTATTCTAACACAACATTAAACAATGGGAAATATTAGACAAACCAAAAAGTTTAATGGATACTGAAAATCGTCAACTGAAATTTTAACTTAATTTACATAATTTCATTTTGAATCTAAAAACCTGCTCGGATCAGAAAACCTACATAAAAAGAACAGAGTAGAGTTCAAGCAAGGCGTCCCACTAATTTTACTATTTTTAATTTTATTTCCAATATCAGATATTCCGCAATTGCTGCGGTTTGACGAAGACAACTTTTCGGATTTTTTACCTTTACCATTAATAGATATTCGCTTTCGTTTGGCTTGCATTATTATTATGATTATAAACAATAACTCATTTTACATCGCAACTCAGTATTTCTGTCTTGCTGCAAGCGAGAATACCTAGTACGACTAGCTAATCGAATATTAGTGTATTGGTTTGTCACCTTAATATCCATTTGCCGGCAAACCTATACAAAGGTATGCGCCAAAACTACGTAATTTTGGCACAAACACTGACAAGTAAACATATTGACTCCTTCTGACTTATACGAGTTTGTTGCCCAATGACATTTCCTTAATGGTCTCTCTCATACCAACGGGGTGTCAGCGATCGGACCTCCTTCTACCAATATTCCAGACTTCTGACACCTCTAAGCCCTCCTCCATGATACCATAGTGCTTCAAAGCTTTCCAGCTTGTGTTTCTCATTTTTACTCTGTGGAGCTCTGAGCGCAGATCTGTCTGGTACGTCTAATTTGTCGTTTCTGGGGTATCAAGATTGTGGAACAATCTGCCTGAAGAGGATTTTCCCAGTTCTATCAAACTCAGGCTTTTGAAAAATCGGATGAGCAAGATAAATTTGATCTTTTTATAGTAATCGCAGTATTTAAACTGTATGTTTTGTATGTCCCAAACAAATTACTCTTTAGCATGCCATCTTCTTTGTGGCGTTCGACAACACAGTACGGCAACAGTGCTATGTGTGTGACCACCACCTAGAGATTCCTCTAGAGTTTCTTATTGTCTAACTGAGATTTTATTTAAGTTTGTTAGTTTTTGGCATGGTTAACGCATTGTATGTCATTCCGTTTTACGACGAATAAATCGATTGTGAACTGACATCCGACGTTTTATTCCACTGACGAAGAAGGTGCCACTTCATTTTTAACGAAGGTTGGCTTCCCTACATTTTGTCACGTAAAAGATTTTCTCCATACTGAGGTTTGTCCTGTCTCTAATGTTCATCAACCAAGATTCCTTGTTTCTGCCTTTGCACTACCTTCCATCGATTCTGCATTACATGATTACGTGTAAGAGGGAGTATTGATTTGTCATTGCCAAGTACGTGGCCTTAAACATGCCGTTTTTCTTATTTTAAGTATTGGCATTAGTATTCGCGTCTCAAAATCTCTCTATATGTGACTCTAGCAGATCACGAGTGCGTCAGTATTTATACATAAGAAATGTATTTAAATAAGAATAACCTCCTTCAAACTGCACCAGTCCGCCTATGGCCGAGCAATTTATCCAGTTTCTGTGAAAATAAGAATGCCATTAAGCCATCGAAGCCATAAAACAAGAAGGAGGCATCTTAAAAATTCCATAAAAGACCACAAATCCCGCTTTAAGGCCGTCGCCTTGCCTAAATTACGTTAAAGGCCGATTAAAATACTTTTTATTCGCGATAAAGTCGTTCCGAAATCGAGAAAACGACACACGCATTCTCATCGGTTCATGGCGCGTTTTAAAGATGCACATACAAAGTTTTAGGAGAAAAAGACATATGGTGCATAGGTAGGCGAAAAATCTGACGATCTGCACCTGGTTTGCCAAGTTAATCTTCGTCATTATCCCTTGGATGAAAGATGACGAAAAGCGGTACCGGCCCATAACTGATCGACATTCTGCTCAATGCACACATAGATGTCGCACTACCATCTGGAAGCCGGAATATCAAGTACTCACAGAGCAGACCAACAATGGTTTTCTATACAAATATGCATGAATTTGTCGTTTGCTTGCTTTCTGCGCATCTGTCACAAGGACTAATAGCCCTATACCGCACTGATGAGTTGCTAATGAACATAAAATAGCGCTATCTGCGGTTGACCGTGGTTACAGAGACAACAAGTGAACATGTCTTTTCAAAAGGCATATGGTTGTTATGTTCAAAAGGATTGAATGGAGCAGTCGCGTAGCTACTGCCATATCAGCCCCAACTTAGAGGGGGCCCCACGTACGAAAAAAATGCGTAATATGTTTTTTAAAATCTCACGCATGTATTTTTAACCTTCTATATTACAACTGCAATGGATGAAAGAAGCTTTTCAAAATTAAAAGTAACATATTTCAGGACTTCTAGGAGGCCGACTATCAAGCATGGTACTTACTGTCTTCAGACGCTGAAAGTTTCGAAACACCAAGCATTTACCTATGCCTATTTTCAAATTTTCCATGAGTCAAGATAAGCCTTGATAAAGAAACAAGATATTTCATCTCCATGATGTTTTTGAATATACCCTAACCTGAAACAATCAGAAACGAGAAAAGCAAATTTTCGCAATTTTTAAGAATTGTAACCTCTGCACAAAGTGATAGGTCGATTAAAAAAATGTGTCTATATTTCTAGAAGAAAACCTACATTGAAAAATAGAGATACTTAAAAGGAAAATTCCTAAAATGCCATCTGGTTGAGTTAGAAAGTAACAGACACGAAGTAAACGCAAACTCTAACGCAGATTATGTCAAAGATTAGCTTGATGTGAAGATTACGCAGAGGGTCATGTCACAGCGCATACTTTCTGGACATTGGCCAAAGAGACTGGAAAAAGTTAAGGGCCGTATCGTCAGTCGTTACTATAATTGTAGGACGCCTTTATAGCCTCCTTTTAACACTCTTTTCTCTCCTTCAGAAAGGCTGCGGTATTTCTTCATTTCTATTTTCCGTGTCAGCATAAACAGTTTGATGCCAATAGATATTTATAACATAACCTCAAATAGAGCGCCGAGAAAACTATGAAAATCAAGGAGGCCATAAAGGCGTCCTACAATTGTAGGAATGACTGACGATACGGCCCTTAAAGTTAGGAACAATTTGAATTTCAAACCGACAATTCTCTTTCCATCTTACAAATGATGACAGTAAAATATATGCACCCTTGCCAGGTTTCAGTTGACCAAACATAACACAGGTTCCACCATAGAGAACATGCCTATATTCCACTATCAGACCCACGATGTTACTCTCTTTATTCAACGTGCAAGCGGAAAAAGTATAGCACCACCACCATTTTTTTTCCTGAATCTTAATAGAGAAAAGTGTTGTCAGACTAAAAAAACAAGCAAATAAGTTTTAACAAAATTTATTTACAGTTAGTATTTTTTTTGTCATCCTGACATGTTATTTCTGGTCTAATTTGGTCGTTTCGCAGAAATTTTATTTCAGGTCCAGCAAGTACCGTAAATTTTTTATGGGATTGATATTCAGGGATCGTGCAGGAACATTGTAAAGTAACCATTCCTTAGTTTTGGTGGAGGATCATGATCTAGCCGAAAGATAACTGGCTCGGTGCAGGATGAATGAATACCATTCCACGACATGAAGCCCCAGGCTAAAACGCCCCCGTAAGTGTTAAATTTTCTCTTGAAATCTTGAAGATTTCGGCTCTAATGGTCGTAAATATGTATGGAAAAAATTTAACAGGTAATTCGAAATGAGACATGTCAGTCCAACATGGTGACGGAAGCGCTTTAGTCTAGTATGGTGATGGTATGCTAAGTTTCAAATATTTTGACATTTTGCGCAATCACTTGAACAATTACTGAAAAAATGAGGATCATACATTCATCTTTAGGACGATAATCCTAAGCACACCGCCAGTACGACAGAAATGATTACGGATCCCAATCCCGTTAAAAATTTATGGTACATGCTGGACTTGAAGACCTGAAAAAGTAACATTTTTCCCAAACGACAGCTACCAGGTGTTCTTATGCAGGAATGGGTCCAAATTGGGCCAGAAATAACCCGGAATAACCATACCACGATGGCTTCAGGCCGTAATTGACGCCAATAGTATGAAAACATAGTACTAATACAAATACATTTTGTTAACACTTATTGTTTGTTTTTTTAGTGTGTCAATATGCTTTGTTACTGGAATTTCATAATTCCTATACTTATCCTTATATCATTTTTAATTTGCTCAATCTATTGAAATCCAAAATGAGTTTTTGGATCTTCAGTTTTCAAATAAATTTAGTACCAAAAAATTCATCTTTTCGTTATTGAGATTCAAGAAAAAATACTGTGTGCCAATACTTTTTTGATCCACTGTAGCTTCTGGCGGATGGCGTGAAAGATATGACTGTCCGGTATTGCAAAATTTAGTTAGTTAGAGTTCAGAGCTTGTAAGCAGTACTTCACTAACAAGAGCATCAAGAGCTTATCCGGATGGATGTCAGCTTTGCCCAGAACTGGTATACTGGTTTCAGGTCATATATTTTATACCTGACTATATCTATTAGTCTAATCATATTAGCAAATTTCCAAGAAATAATTTTAAAGTCTGGTTTTATTGGTGCAAGTTGTTCAAAGAGGTATTCATGGCCGCATAAAATGGGTACACCAATTTTTGTGGGAAAACTTTTTATTTGACAACAAAGAATGAGAAAACGCGTTTTGGGATTCAATCGAAAGTGTTGACAGGAACAAGATTAAAAATAACGGACTTATAGCAAAAATGTTATGGCCAAAAAACGAGACAAAATGCAGGTTTTGGCACTTGTTGGTAATGCGACAATAATTTCATGCAACTACTTGAAATTCCTCAAATTCGTAGGATTCATACTTGTAAATAACAACAACAAAATTGGAGTATATTGGTCAAGTAGTTTTTTTAGAATTTCTAATTGTTTATCCCAACACACCTGACTTCCGGCCATCAGTACTAGCTTATTTGGCAATATACTGGGTTTGTTCAAAGAGCATTTGATAGCAAAATACACGTGTTTACCTTGCCGATATGAATCACAAGCCACTCCGAAAGATAAATGTTATTTTTGTGCGAAAAACAAAGGTTACGTTTTTTCTTCTAAACAAATTCAATCATTTCGTATTTGTGAGTAATTGAACAAATGCGCTACGATATTCGAAAAACATACGTTACTGTACATACTTTAAAACAAAGCGGATGTGTCTATCATCTTCTGTTGCGAATTACTCACAAATACAAAATGTTTCAATTTGTTTAGAAGAAAAAACATAACCCATCCTCTTTTGCATAAAAATAACATTTATCTTCAGGAATGGTTTGCGATTCATATCAGCAAGGTAAACTAGTGTATTTTGCTATAAAATGCCCTTCGAACTAACCCTGTATATTGCTCAATAAACTAGTATTGATGGCTGGAAAACAGATGTTTTGAGATAAACAATTAGAAGTTATCAGAAACTACTAGACCAATCTACTCCAATTTTGTTGTGGTTATTTAGAAGTACGAATCTTACGAATTTGAAGAATCTCAAATATCTGCAAGAAACCATCGTCGCATTACCAACAAGTGCCAAAAGCTGCAGTTTTCCTCGGTTTTCGGCCATAACTTCGTTGCTATCAGTCGGACCTTCTTACGTGTGGTCTCATTTTGTAGGCCTCATAAATACCTAAAAATCTTATATGAAGAGTTTTTTCGTTCCTGCCAAAACTTTCGATTGAATCCGGAAAAACGCGTTTTCTAATTCTCTGTTGTCGAATAAAAAGTTTTCCCACAACAATTGGTCTACCCAGTTTATGCGTCTACGTTTTGAATACCCCTTTGAACAACTTGCAGCAATAAAACCAGATTTTACAATTATTTCGCAAACCAGGGGTATTCTCCTCCTCACCGTCCATATTTCTGTAGTTAGTGGAATAAACTTTATTATATAAGTGCTACTTCTCCTTACCTTCCATACTTACAATGTGCTTGTTGTATAAAATCCTGCTCTAAGCAAAACTTATTATCAAAATTATATCAAAAAAAATCTGCCCGTGCACAACCAACTATTTTGGTTTCAATTGGCTTTACAAGACAATTTAAAATATTTTCTGTTAACTTAAGATTATTTTGTGAAAGTCAGGTATTATGTTTTATTTTACGTTTATTATTATACTGAAGTTAGCATTTGTATTTATTGACACATTGTATTTTGGGGGAAATAAACATATACTACTACTACTACTACTACTACTACTACTACTACTATCATCTAATATGATTAGACTATATACCAAAATAACATCAAGAACGTTTATATGGATGCGCAAGGCAATGACAATCCACTTTTACCTTATACACAAAAAGATCGATCGATTCGATCGGATCATTCCCATGATTACTTATTCATCTGATACATGTGAACGATATTGAAAACTCCATCGCTGTCAAATAATTTTGATATAGGTTGTTTTTTAACATCTTTCCATGATTATTCGCTCCGTTTTCCAAACTGGTATTTGCCCCTTATCTGATTCAAAAGATAATTAGTATGTATTGAAATTTCCAAGTCATTCACCGATATTTATCTGGATGGAATCCATACCGCGCGCTACGATTTACTACATACAGCGATTCTCCTTTGTTTTTTCTCGTATCATGCTCCTCAGGTGCCGTTCCCGAGCAGTTTGCTCACTTTTGATAAAGCAGTTTCCAGGTATCTCTTAAAGGTATGTTTTCATTATAAAAAATTTGATTCGCAACATGCGCGGCTTCATATGCTATCACATGTGCTAGGGCTTTGTACAGCTTGCAACATGCCTCCCAGCCCAACACTGTCGAACTTCGTATTTCAGAACTGGCCGGTACGACCACTACTTCATGATCGTGGCACAATCTGACTCAGGAAACAAATCTTAGGAAGTTTAAAAATCGGATTAACAATCGTCTTTGAGCTCCTTGTAGAAGTATTTAGGAACTGCCAACGCGGCTGCTTCAGTATATTCCCTGTACTTGTGCTGCAACTTGTTGCGCGTCACGTACCGAAGTATACACCAGACATTTTTAGATCCGAAGTGTCAGAGATACGTTCCTCCAGTTTTTGTCACATAAACGTAGGCGTCGCCAGGTGAGCTACTAGATAGCTTGAAAGAACCAAAGAGAGATCCAGAGGTTAGCCGGAAAGTTCTCATTTGAGAGTTAGTCTAAGGGAATGACAATTATCTAGCATCAGATACTTCCGACACCTCTAGGTCAAATTCTACAACCTGGCTAGATGGGTCATATCTCAGATCGGCCTCAATTGTTTTTCTGGTGAATACAGTCTGCGAAAACCAAAAAGGTCGTCAGTTTTGACGTGAAAAACAACGTTGGAATCGCCTTAAGATAACCTAATCTCAAAATACTCTTCAAGGTCTTGTTTAATTTAGATACTCAACCTCAAATATTATAATTTTAAACTGAGTTTTTAAGCATTGAACATACCCCCACGGTAAACCAGATCAAATTTGTTTACAGAACTTCTTTGAGTAAATTACAATTTTTTATACGGACAATTTTTTCAGGTATTTGGTCATTTTGAACAAAGAAGGCTTCCATTAAATTTTCTGTAAGGCTGGTCATTTTCGAGTTATAAACCATTTCATCTCTGAAAAGACCTAAAAATTCTTGAAAACCCGTTTAAAAATAATTTTAAATTCGCCAAGTATCTGAATTGAAGGTTAGGCCTGGAAGGGTTCACTTTTTTAAAGCGATTTTCAACCTTACCTGTTCGGCCAAATTGTCGCAGACTGTACCTATGGAGGCATTATGATTCGTAAAATTTCTGGGTCCTAGGTTGAAAGGTACAGTCTGGAGACGCACGCGTTTAAAACTTGGGCAAAAATGTTAATTTCAATTTCAATTATTTTCCTAGCCCTGCCATTGAAAAACATGCGACTCCATGATATATGACTATTCTGAAGAATTGTCCAAGGAATGCAAAAGTGACCTCAAAATTGGGATAGGATAATTCATTATTTCGGCCCAAAGTGATGTTTTTCGAAATTTTCAGCTTAAACAAAAATGCACAAAATAATTTTTTAAGCAGATGGAGCTATGGACTATCCCCTATAAATGGTATGTACTCTGGTCTTTAAATTGGCCATATAGGCATTTATTTGACTTTTGACTGAAATATCTGCCTAACGAATTATCAGATCGCAATTTGAGGGCCATTTTTGAATTCTTCGGACCACCTTACTTGGGTATGGTCACATATTGCTAGTTTTCAATGCCAGCACTATCAAGAAAATGAAAATGTTGCCAAAAAGGCTAAGCTTAACAGTCTTTCCGATCCTTGAAACTTTGATCGCGCTTCCAGCTCGAATTTTTCGTCTAAGAAATTGACATTTTACAAAATCTCATACCTTCAAAGGTTTTCTTCAGAAAACAAATTTGAGCTCGATATGAGACATGACCTGTCCTCCAGTATCATGAAATGTTTGTCCAAACTATCGAAAATTGGATAAAAGGCCTATCCCACCAATTTAAAGGCCCAAATACAAAAGTTCATTTATTAGGCTGATGACCTATCACCTTGACTGAAAAAAAAAATAATTTTAGGTAGTAAAAGAATCTCAAGCCCATCTGAGTTATGAACCGCCAAGTCGGGTCTATAACATTCACGAAAAAACTAGGTAGTAAGAAATTTGAGCCCGATCTGAGATATGACCCGCCAGGTCGTGGAATTTTAGATTTGACCCCTCTCCACTCCTGGATTTCGAAATATAATTTGCTCTTATGGATCTGTGCATCTAAGAAGCTAATCCAAATTACCTTTGTTGCAATGAAAGCTGTCTGTAATATGTAGAAACGATAGAAAAAACGATACTTAGGCAAGAATTACTGTATACATTCTTGTTAGAATAGATACGAACCCTGAGAGGTAGAACCCAGTTTAACGATGTCAACGAAGCCTTAAACATCTTTCTTATAATCAAGACGTCACAATTATCTGAACATAAGGATATACAGAAACCAGTCTCGTGCTAGGAAAAAAGATCCTAGCCTTTTTTATTGTATGCGTAAAATTGAGTGATCTACTAGGTAATTATCTGTAACTAAAGAATCGTACTACTTCAAATATATTAATAACAAATTTCCATTTATTCAAGATGAACAACAAGTACCCATATTCCAGCTTATCATTTACTATTCAGAATAAGCTGTCAATGTCTTGAAATAAAATAAAAAAGATACAAAAAACTAATGTGACGGGAAGGTGGGAAACAAGTATGATTTATAACTTTATGAAAAGAAAATTCCATCATTGATCAAAAAAGGTCCTCAAAGAAACTCTTATGCCGGCCACAGACTATCAGGTACACCTGACAGGTACGCCTGAACAGTTACTCCTGTCAGGTGTACCTTATAGTGTGTGGCGGGAATATCTAGCCTGTCAGGCGACCTGACAACTGATGAAAATTCGATCAGTTCTGCTTGACAGGCGAGTAGACTTGACGTGTGTGTGGCGGTGTAACCTGAGCAGGTCTCAGTTTTTAGCAATTCTTTGATGTGGACAGGTTAAATTTTCAAAACAATCAGTTTTAGGTAGATACTGAAAAATGTCGCAACGGAATAATGAAGTTCTTGGTGATTTTATTGAAATTTATAAAAGTGAACCTTGCTTGTGGAAAGTGAAAGATAATGACTATCGCAATAGAGACCAGAGAGATGCTGCATACAGAAAATTAGTGAACAAATTGAAGGAAATAGAGCCTGATGCAAACGAGACCTTGGTTAAAAAAAAATCAACAGTTTGAGATCCAATGTTCGAAAGGAGCAGAAGAAAATTGACTCCTCAATGAAATCTGGCGCCTCAGCAGATAATGTATACAAACCTTCTCTTTGGTACTTCGAACTTTTTGATTTCATAAAGGACCAAGATAATCCTAGATCATCGGTCTCAAATTTATCTCCTGAAAGGGACAATGATGAGGTAAGTAAAACATAAATATTATTTTTGACAATGTTTATTTAAATCTGTATATAAATAATTGTTTAGTTGAGTTTATTTTTACTTAGGTAGGTAAATAAAAGTGTTAGTTTAGAAAGCCTTCCACACTTTACTACAACGCTTTATTTCATTAGTTCTGGTTGTTCCTCAATATGTGTTTATTTTGCCATGGCACTTTCCCTTCGTCCATGAAGCAATCCATGAATTATTCTCTAACTTCTTTGGCATTTTCACAAATATTTCCTCGATTACAAGATTGTAGTGGGTTCATATTAGATTGTGTACTATCGCAGCCAACAGATAAAATATTTCCATCTTGATCACTTTCTTGATACAAACAATTTGCAGGGCCATAAACTGTAGGCTGTTTATCCATCAAAAAGTTATGCAGAGCACAAGCTGCCATCACAACCTTTTCAATATTTTGTGGTTCTAAATTTATTGCCGTATGAAAAATACGAAATCTCGATGCAAGAATACCAAATACGTTTTCAACTATATGCCTTGCGCGAGATATACGATAGTTAAAAACCTCTTTTTTGGCAGAATTAAGAAATGACTGTCTGAATGGCTTCAAAATTTCAGTTGTCAGCGGAAAATCATCGTCCGCAACAAAAACATAGGGGACATTTTTAAAATTTTCAGTTACGTCGTCAGGCGGAGGAATATGTAGATTTTTCTCCACTAATTTTTCATAGAAACGTGTATTTTGGAGTACACCGCCGTCGGATACGCGGCCATTAGTTCCGAAATCCACAAGGAGAAATCAGTAGTTTGCATCTACAATAGCAAGAAGAACCATACTATGCTTTCCTTTGTAGTTGAAATAATAAGAGCCCGAATTTCTTGGGGGAATTATATCAATATGCTTGCCATCCATGGCGCCTATGCAGTGTGGGTAGTTCCATCGATTCTCAAAATCCTTTGATATTTCTTTCCATTTTTCTGTAGAATTGGGAAACTGAAAAATAAAAATAATGTTTTAATCGGCAAAATTAAACTGTATTTTGATTTTAGGTGAACATTGATGACCCATCTCCAGAGGAAAACCAATTGACACCCACTGTCTCTCAAGAAGAGCGGCGGGAATCGAATCAACCTGCGGCGTCGGCTGGGATTTCACGACCTGGGCCCAGTATAAAGAGGAAATCTAATGATGATATATCAGCTGAGATATTGTCTACTGTTCGCGATCATTTCAAACGACCGCAACCACAAATCGACTGTTGCGAGCTCTTGGGGCGAACAGTAGCTATAAAAATGAGGGGCATATAAGATAAACGCCTGCACATCATGTTCGAAAAAAAAATTACACACGATCTCCCACACCAAGTCCACAATATCACGCACCATTCACACAACAAGAACAAAACCCAACTTCTCACAACAATACAGAAACAGCATCAAGTGTTTTGTCAAATTTCACTGAAACTTTTGAATGAGTAAATATGAAAATAAAAAGTTTGTTTAAATATATTAAAAGTTTTCTTTCCACTTTTTCCTTTCTTATTATTATTAAAATAGTGTCTTATTGTTAAACATACTATTTGATAGTTTAAAAATTTAATACAAAAGAACAAAATAGAGGACATACCTTAATGTATTTCTGCAGAACTTTGTACAGGGCCACACATGTATCAGGAATAATTTGTCCAAGAGGTTGTGGTAAAATCCTAGTTGAATATTTTAGACACTCATACGGTTGTCCAGTTGCTAAGAATCTCAAAGTAGCTGTCAGTCTTTCGTGTGGGCATATAGCTGTTCACATTTGTCTATCTTTCTTCTTAATCAAGGGAGATACAAGTGACAGCAACTCGTTGTACACTGATTCGTTCATGCACAGAAAATTGTTATAATCAGATGGTTCATGTCTTAATTCATTAAGGAGATTTATATGGGTAAATTTATTTCTTCTCTGCAACCATCCCTTACATCATTGTTTGCGTTTCTTCCGTCTGTTTTTACGTATCGCAAAAATTACATAAAATAAGGACAGAAAGAGCAGATCATCTTTAGGAGAATCCATGATGTGAACTGATAAACTTGACAGGTATACATGAAGAGTGTGTGTGCTCCTACGGTATCAGGTACACCTGACAGGCGTAACTATTCAGGCGTACCTGTCAGGTGTACCTGATAGTCTGTGGCCGGTATCGTCAGTCGTCCCGACAATTGTAGGGCGGCTTTATGGCCTCCTTGATTGTCATAGTTTTCTGCTTCTCCGTGTCAGAGCTCTATTTTGAGGTTATGTCACAAACATCTATTTGCATCAAATTGTGCTTGCTTTTGAGTTATATCATGTTTTACCAGCCTGAAATTTCCTACAATTTAAAAAGAAAACATATCTTCACAATAGGAGAGCGCTGACGCTGAGACGGGACAAGTGTAATCTAGAAATGTTTGAAGGAGAGAAAGGAGGATGACAATCAAGGAGGCCATAAACGCGCCCTACAATTGTAGGGACGACTGACGATACGGGCCTTAGTACCATCCGACAAAGACTATTCAAATAAATGCAGCGCCAAAATAGAACGGTACACGGAATTTCTTCCTAGCTTCAACGAAATCATGCGACATCCTATGGAAACGTCCTTAAGCACGGTTTTATGCATATATGTTCAATCGTAATGACAAAGAACAAATTATTCCACTAACGACCACCTAAGGATATTCTCAGCACAATACCGTCTTTGATGAACATACCGCTATAATGTCGAAAAAGGCAAAGAACTCTTAATCCAGCCTATATCCAGATATTCAATCAAACAAATCATGTAAATGCAAATGCAGGTCCCACCCATCTACGCCTATGATTCAAAGGCTAGCAAGCCATGTCATTCATCTCCCATTGTTTTGTATCAAGATTTCGTTTTTTACCTCAGCTTTTATTCTAAATGATCTTCAAAGGCGGATTGGATCTTATGAAATGTTTGAATCTGTGTGGATATCGTTCGTCTCTTTTTACATACAGGTATTAGGAATGGAACGTCGAGCTGGTCAGCGAGCGCCATATTGATGATTGTATCGTTTTCAGTCGTTAGCTCGTTCTCATTGTCTGAGAGAGTCTGAACTAAGAGATCGTTCACACGAGGTTAGTGGAAAGATTTCAGATAAGCTGTTGACTATGTAAAACGTAGACGAAGAAACCTTTGATGAACATTCATCAGTCATATTGTTGAAGCAGTGTGAGACTCTCCAATACTCATCCTAAATAACAAGAAAATAACAATGTGGTTACAAACAGTAATTTGCAGGTGCAAATAAATAATTGCTTCTCGATTCAAGATTCAAAGAAGATCGATTCAAGATACGTATCGGATTTCGAAGTTACAAACTACATACCTGTATATTCAAGTACCGAAAAGAAACACAGCAGCGTAACACATCGTACGCCACTGTTAGTGCGGTGTGACTTCAAAAACGGTGAGAGGCCCACACGCTAGCTTTATGCCGTTTCCTAAGATCATTATGACACTCACTGCCCAGTATTGTGGCCGCATGAATCGACGTGAAATTTGTTATGAATACAGTTTCCATTATCTTGATTGATATTCTAATCTATAGTTTAGTAGCCTGTACAGTAGTTTTATAGTATTTGTTCTCTATAAATAAGAACTAGCTCTGATAAGGAACTATTTGTACAATTTTTATCTTCCCTGTATCACCTTGAGGTTTGAGAATCCTGAGATAATACTCGCGAAGCAGTAACATATGTTACGTTCTCATGCCAAACAAGTAGACATGAAAGCTATGTTGCTATAAATGGAGGAAGCCTTGGTTCTTCGGTCTGACTTAAGTGTACTAAAAAGAAAGTACCGAAAAGAAAGACAGCAGCGGAACACATCGTACGCCACTGTTAATGCGGTGTGACTTCAAGAACGGTGAGATGTCACACGCTAGGTTTATGCCGTTTCCTAAGATCATTATGACACTTTCCAATTACTCACTGCGCAGTATTAGGGCCGCATGACTCGACGTGGAATTGGTTATGCAGTTTGAAAACTGACAACCTAAAAGTAAGGGGGGCTATGTTAAAAGCCATCGGAGGTTGTCACATCTGCAGAGTTATTATGTAAAAAAACTATGTAATGTCAAAAAAAACTATAAAATGTCTATTGACTAAGTAGGCTACTGTGCAAATATACTAAGTGACATATAAATCCGAACACCCAGTTTAAATGGTTTTATTTTAACAAAATTTTGTATAAGTACTTAATGAAGCATAATAAGTAAATGATAAAAATTTCAAAATGATTGCACTGCTTTAAAGCCCTTTGACCTTTAATAATGTGTGGATGCACCCTGATGTGCTACGCATTCTCCAACGCGCCTAGGCATGCTTCTGATCAGGCGGTCAATGTCCTCCTGTGGTATCTCATTCCAGGCAACCATCAACTCCTCTCGAAGTGCTTCTAGAGTCTGAGGAGGACGTTGCAAATTGAGCAATCTCCTACCCATCATATCCCACACGTGCTCAATTGAGGATAAGTCGGGAGATCTTGGTGGCCATGGTAACAATGTGACATCATTATGTTGAAAGAAGTCTATTGTGACTCTTGCAAAAAAAATTTACCTAAGAATATTTTTCCATTTCCTCGACATCTTGTTCTGTAATAGTGGGATATTGTGGACAAGAGCTCTCATTAGCAAAAATTCTGATGACTATTTGCAGCTGGCTGAATTCAAATTTGGTTTTGCAGAAATTCTAATATGATCCCACGTATTTAGGTATTTTTCCATGTATTTTTAACGATTTATGATAAATATGGTTTCAGTCAATTTTTTCAAATTTCATTCAACTATTGCAATTTGTGCCACATCTGACACCCGTCAAAACGGCCATTTTTTTCAAAAAATACATCGATATTTTTTTATATATTTTTCTAGTTACTCTTGAATTATGAACTATCACATATATTTTTCAAGAAAAACCAAAAAATCATGCAGTAAGGGGTTAACCTGTACAATATTGTTGCCTTCTCAAGCAGTAGTAACATCCAGATCTTTCATTAAAGAGTAAGTCTTCTTTTGTCCAGCGCACCTGCAGAGATCGGCCTTTCACTCTGAATTCCTGCATGTAGAGTGCTGTCATCAGCAAAGCTGTGGATTGGATTGATCGTACAGGAAAGGAAAAATGAAAAACATTGTATCACGAGTATTCGATTCCGAGTCAATACATTACATGTAGAAAATAAATACTAATCGAGCAGCCTTTTTAAAAACGTTTTTAAGCTTTTCACCTCAGCAGGAGAACAAAACAAAAAATAGCCATTAAAACGGTCATTTCAAATTTAAAATTTTTAATTTCTGCTTACTCATGCACTTCGTTAAGGCGCCTGATGATGCGATGATTATTTTGAAGGAGTTTTAATAATCTATATTCGGAGCAGCTTTTTACATAGTAGACGAATAAAATGCTTTGTTATCTTTACAAAATTAGTTAACATCTGTCCCGATGTACTTAAAAAATTCTCGAGAAATCTGGTTAGAAGGCGTGGTAACTGTGGAGTCTTAAACATGAAAAGTACTTAAATTTCATAATCTTAATGCACTGTATACGTATACAGAGTGGTGCACTGAAGTTTGGCTGCAGAAGCACAAGGCTGTTGGAGTTGAGTTTTTGGGAGACTTGCGTAGCTGGAAAAGAGATAATTTATTGGAGGACAATATTATAGCAAAAACTAGTCTCTGTGCTAACCACCGTGTAAGTAATGTCACTAATACTCAGAGTGTTCTGATATTTGAGAAATTGCTTTTTCGGAAAATAATACGTTTGAAAAACAAATCTAGTATGCAGTGAAGCAGCAAAGAAATTGATAAGGAATTCCAAGTATATGATGCTCATAAATACTATTAGAATTTGTAGTCGTTCAATTCAAGAATTCTAGGTTGAGGTTGACGTATGAGATATTCAGGGTTATCTAGACCTTCCCGTGTGGCTACCTCGACGTTCTCACAAACGGATTGTAACTTAGCGGGATGAGCAAGCGGAGCACGATGGAAACGTAACTGAAAACGATCTGAATACACTCGCGGAGCCTCAACAGCGTCTTGTAAATAACGTAAATTAACATCATATCGACAAGTTCGTTATTGCAATACGAGTAGGCAATTTTCGAATCAATTTTGTAACAAACAGCCTAAGTGACGGGTTGAACACTGACGCACATATTACCTCTTTAGTTTTCACCTTTGGAAGGCAGGTCGGGATTAGGTGTTGTAGATTTTTCGGAGCTTAATATCTTGGTTATTGCTTTGTGGCGTATTTTGTTTGCTTGTGCCAACTTTAATAACACACATCAAACCTGTTTGAGGGCGGATTTAAGAATCTGTCTAGGGGAAGGTGCATCATTCATATTTAGGAAAATATTCGTATCGGGGAGAGGGTTAGCGGTCATTA